AATAGAATTGTAATAAGAATAGGTTTGTATTTAGAAGTAGTATTAGAAATTGATTTTTGAATAAAGATTATTATATACTTTAAATCATATAAAAATATATAAATTAATAAATAAATACTTTACTATAATATATATACTACTATACTCTTTCCGATGATCACTTATTACAAACAATCTGCCCAAAGAAAAATAAAAAATTTTGTTGGAGATAATGCTGCTTCGTATTTTGATGAGGTGGTTTTTGTAGAGGTTGGTCTACTATCTTTACCAACTCTTTTACATATTCAGCATGCAAGCCAAAAGCGTTTTAGTGCAAGATAACTGGCAGGTGGTGCCCTTGTACAAAAAATTTTGGTGGAGACGGTATCCTGGAGAGGAGGGTTTCTGTCGATGAAGTCTCTTAGAAGTTGAACAGAAAAAACAAGGGGAACAACAAATGCTTTTATTTTTCAGCACACTTTTTATAAGCATCACAAGTGGTTGCTTTCTACCTATAAAAAATACTTTCTACAACGTTTGCCATTCTGTAAAAAATTTCTGAACAAAAAGTTGGGATTTGGCTTTCCCCCTCCAAAGAATCAACATTGTTTACATTCCAAATCCGAACAGCCGAGTAGATTACAACCATGTGTTCGATGAATACGATGCTACTAAATTGGACAGGTCCCATGAATTTCTCCTAATGGTGGCAGCAGGTGGCTTGAGATATGGGTCTACGAACGGTGGCAGCACCTGGCTTGAGATACGAATTAGGTCAGACCATTTATTCCAGAGTTGGTCATATGGTCAAAAAAAAATACTAACGTTAAGGTAATGCTTTACAGTAGAGATATACAAGTGTTGTATTTGTTATATAATTTTTACATTCACCTGGCACGGGTTATAATAGTGTATTTTCTTATTTGTGTTTTTAAGGTACTGAGAAGGAAGCCTTTTTTGTTCGATTCCTTTTTTTCGCTATTTCTACAATTTAGAGGTAGCACCCTTTTCTTGTGGCCTATCTGGGCTTATCTCTTTGTTTTTTTCTTTTTTTACGTTTCCTTTCCCCCTTTTTATTATTTTTCCCTTAGAAATTCTCTTTTCTTGTTTTTTGTTTTTTTTTGTGTATATAAAACCCTTTTTTTTTTCTAAATGTATGTTCTGGTATATTGGAACATTATTTTCTTTTGCTCTCAGTGAAGAAAGTTAGAATGGAGGGATAGGCTTTTGGCAGGCTGACAAGGTCTCTGACTTACATGTAGGTCAGTGCGACAAGTCGCATTTGGGCACATTAATCGCAGCCGGGTGATATTGGGCTTACAATTTCAACTTTAGTAATTTTCTGTCCAAGTTTATTACATTAATAAAGTATTGTATACGAGCTTCGACAAGACTATCAAAGCTCTAAAAATATATATATATATATATATATATATATATACTAGAAAACAAATACTGTTAATATCCGAAGCCAAAAATAACAATTAATAAATACAAGTTTACTTAGTGTATTAAGTTAGAATTAAATAGTAAAATTTTGTGAATCATAAGATTTTATAGAATTTTATTAATAAAATTCTATAAAATCTTATAGTTCATGACATTTTATTAATTAATTCTAATTTTGTGTACTAAGAAAACTGATTCAGAACCTAATCATATATTATTATTATTATTATTATTATTTTTTAAGCGATCCTGCTTTTATTCAAATTTAGTGAACTGCTACATGATGCTGTGATATATCAATAAGACTATATATTCTTATTTAATAAAAGCTCACCAAGCCTAAGCCCAATGCGACTAGCTATAACAACTATTAGTCACCCCCGGGATTCAAAACTTGCTTCGAATTTCATAACGATAAGGTTACCCCCAAGAGTTATAATAGGTTGTTGTATACCATGTCAGGATCTTTTCTTTCCCTTCTAATTCTTCTTTCTTTTCAAAGAGCATGAGATAAAGGAGAGAAGTTTTAAAAAGTAAACAAATGAAAGCGACCAACAAAAAACTCAAAAAAACACCAAAAAGAAAAAAAAGAAAAACATATTTCGAAAAAGAAAAAACAAAAGAGAAGAAAAAAAAACTCTAACAAAATGATATAGCTATATTATAGCTGAAAATTTATATAATACTCTTAAATTTAGCTCTACTCTAGATTTAGTCCGTATTATATGTAAATATCTTCGGGGTAGAGTTAGCTCTGCAAGAATTATTATAAAAAATCTCCAAACAGTCAATGTCAGTTCTTGTTCCACACGACACAGTTTGATTCGTTAATCGCCCATTCTAATTTGTATCTTGAGCCAGGTGCTGCCGCCATCTAAGGACCCGTATCTCAAGCCATCTGCTGCTGTAATTAGAGTTCCTGCCACCAAATCCGTGATTCCTTGTGACTCCTGTTCCCAATTTGGAATCGGTAAACAATGCAGATTCTTTGGAGGGGGTACGCTGATTTTCCCACTTTTTGTTTAGCAAAAATTACCTAAAAAAATCCAAACCAAGCGAGAATATAGAGAGGAGTTTTCGGTTGCGGGTTCTTCAAAATTTCCAAATGAGAGTGTTGAAAAGGCTTGTTTTGTTGTTCCCCACTGTTTTACTATAGATAACTTTGTCAACAGAGGTTTCTCACTCCACCAAAATTTCATATACAAGAGTGCCACCTCTTGCCAGTTATCTTGTATAATAACACTTTCGGCTTGCTTGTTGAATATATAGAGGAGTCTCCGCAATAGCAGAAACAGTTGACCTCTACAAAAACTGTATTCTATATTATTCTACTACACCTTAGCACAGCCAATGCTCCAACAAAACAGTTTTTCTTTAGCAGAAAAATTGGTCCAAGTAATTGTCAGGGAGAGTTAATGATTTCTTTTTTTTTTATAATATTACCCAGAATAACAAGTTTCTTATTAATTTTACATAACCTTTAAATTTAACTCTTATCTGTTTACAACTTAGTTAGCTCATTTTTCATAATCTTCATAATTTTGTTTTGGATAAAAATTAAAAAAAATTAATATTTAGGAAGCTAACAGAAAAGAGCTCATTATAAAGTCTTTCTTCTCTTTTCCTTTTTTCCTTTCTTTAAAACAATTACAAGTTCTAAAGTAATTAATTAACTCTTGTATATTTTTATATACTTCTTGCATAATCATGCAGATTTATGTATAAATATGTATATTTATGCATAAACTTGCATAATCATGCAAAAGTGCATAAAATATACAAGGGTTAATTGATTATTTTAGAACTTGTAATTGTTCTAAAGAGGAGGAAAGAGAAAAAGAGAAGAGAGAATAATAAGCTCTTTTCTGTCAGCTCTCTTATCTGGTAAATCTTAATTCAAATAATTGATAAATTAGATAATTCTATTATAGTATTATTATTTCAGATAATATGTAAATGCTTTTTATACTTATTGATTTTGACACTAATTCCAAAATAATAACAATAAGCAACTTGATATATTCTATTAGAATTATTCATTTTTGCTAATTATTAATAATATAAGAATACTTTGTTTTCATTTTTTTCAACTTCAATTTTATATTTATAACAATACTTACCTAGTTATTAAATTCTATTTACTCAACTTATCTACTATTAAAGTTCCTTAAAGCACAATTAAATTAAAATTAAAAACAGAATACAGTACAAATACAATTAATTAAACAAATTAGTACTGACTTTTAATTACTTGATAGTATTATAGTTTATTTTAAAAGCTAGTCTAGTTCACTTGGTTATTTTCTTTTATAGTATTACCCAAAATAACAAGTTTTTATATGATCTTCATATTTAACTTCTACTTATTTACAACTTATTTAGCATATTTTTCATAATCTTTATAATCTTGTCTTGAATAAGAATCAAAAAAAAGTTTAATACTTATCTAGTAAATCTCATTCAGATAATTGATAAATTAGATAATTCTATTACAGCATTATAATTTCAGATAATTGTCTGGAGCAAAGCGAAGAACTTACATATCTATGCTGTTTAATATCCAAAATTCTGGTTTTGATTCTTTTATAGTAAAATTATCAAAAATGTAGTTGTGGCATTTTCCATCTGTAACGCCATGTATCTATATTTGCACAATTGTGCAACAACAACAAAGGTTTTATACACTTTTTATACAATTTATATTTAAGAATGTAGTTATACCAATATAATAGAAATACCCAAGTATAATACTATATAATATGGTATAGCATAGTATAACCGCTATTTTACTTCCAGCTTAATATGATTCAGAATTTTTTGGAATTATTCTTAGAGAACCTTTTGGAATTGCAGATAAAGCAATTTGATTGGCCAACCTATTTCTATCATTGGTATTATACCTATACTTATGTGTATAATACTGGTATTATATAGATATTATACCAATAGTATAATACAGTATAGATATAGCTTGCATCCCTATTTATACTATATAACAATAATGTGTAATAGTAGATTATGCCTTTGCACTTTAGAAAAATATGTAATTTATTTTTTATTTCATCTTAAACAATTGTGCCAAAGTCTTAACTTTAAACATTTACGGTATTACCGGAATGGTGAGTAAGAGTCTTGTAACAGAATTGTTTTAGTAACTCACAATAAAAATCATAATTTCAATGCTGACTAACCCAACCTTAATTACATACTTGTACTGGAATTTCTTTACAGTACTTCATAATAAGAATCACGATAATTCCAATACCCATATCTATGCTACGGAGTAGTAAAATAATAAAAATAATAAATTTTCTTTTCATTAATTACTGAATGACTTATTTTATTTCAGGTTTACTTTCTCTTCTTGTCTTGTAAGTATTAACTGTTTGGAATGTTTGTATTAAAATATTATAATTTTTATATTATCCTTTTTTGCTCGATTTCATGAAGTGGCAACCCCAACACTATAGGTTTTATCTGCATCACCCATTACACATTCATTCTATCAGCACTATTATCATATGTTCATCCTTCTTAACTAAAACTAACAATATCTATTATTATAGATTTCATTAGCTCAATTCATCCTTTTTATTTCTATTTCCATGAAAATCATATTCAACATTATGAGTTCTCATCTGTTCAACTCCAACATTATAGGTTCCATTGGTATCACTTATCATATATTCATTATTTTCTACTCCAATCCTATTAAAATAATATTCAAAATTGTATGTTTCATTAGTGTCACTATCATACATATGTTCACTTTTTTAAGCTATGATTTTATAAAACTAACAATATCCAATATTATAGATTTCATCATTATACGATGTCCACTATATGTTCATCCCTTTTGGCTCAAATTCCAGTTTTATAAAACTATCTATATTCAACATTATAGGTTCCATTAACATTATTTTCATATATTTATCACAATTTAATGAAACTAACAATATTAATATTATTTATAGAATCCATTAGTGTTACTTGTTACAATAGCCAATAGGTAAAGGAGCTTCCAAAAATCAGCTGATTTATTTTTATTAATAGATTGCTTGAGGCCAGACCCACCCACCCGCACCTGACACCCCTATTAGCCAATCAAATTTCATATTTATTCTTATCAAAAATCATGTATTTTTTAAAAAATCTATAAAATCTTAAGGTTTTAAATATTTTTTAAAAATGTAACTGATAAAACTCAACACATTCTTCCCAACAATCACTTGTACCAAATTTTTACACCAAAAAAGAGTAAAAATATTGTTGGAGTAGTAGATGTGACTATTGGGCGGTTCTTGCAAAGGTCCAACCAGGTTATTTCTCTCTCCTGGGAACTTCTTTGACATATTCGGCATGCAAACCAGAAGCGTTAGAATACAAGATAACTGGCAGATAGTGCTCTTGTATACAAAATTTTGGTGTCGACAGGCTTGAAAAATAAGTGGTCTTTGCTGATGAAGCAACTGAGAGGCAATAAAGAAAAAGGGAACAACAAATGAGTTCTTTAACACACTTTTTGAAAATTTGAAATATTTGACCTCGAAAACCACTCTCCATATTCCTGCTGGGTTTTTGGTGTTTCTCTCGAAATTTTAAAAAAAGTGGAAAAGATCAACATTTGTTTACACGACTATATCAGGATGAAGTTTGAGGATCACAGGGCTCTATACCTAACAACTGATTAAGGACATGTGACGAGAAAAATGTAAACAAAAAAGTCAACCGGTTGGTTTGTATTGATAGGTAAACAAGAAAAATTTCATATTCTCTACATAATAAGAACTATTTTAATACTGAAGTAAAGCGAAGGTGGGGATTGTTTTGCGGAGTATTAAATAATTTTTAAATGAAACTGGTGTTTCCTCAAGCACTTGGTGTATCTAGTGCTTTTATGGTTTTTTGCTTTTTTCTTTTTGCTTTTCTTTTTTTTTTATCATTTTATATTTTCTTTTTTTGTACTTGGTTTACGTTTAGATTTTGTAGATTTTCTACTTTTTTTTACTATTCTCTTTTTAGTTTGGTTTTTTTTAGTATACTTGTCGTTCTTGAGACAAGAATTATAGAATCCTCTTGCTGGAATATTAAGAAGAGGAAGGTTTTAAGGAAATTAGCAGTCATGACGGGCGGCTGATCCTAGTTGATAATATATCTATCTACTTCGATTGCCGAAGTGATAAATATAGACAAAATCAGTTATAGCAGGTCGAACATAAGTGTCTATGAATAACTGGATTAGTCAAAACTTGTAAGTTAGACGCTAAAGCTAGTGTTTTAGTTTGAGTAATCGCATAAAGTGGAGCTAACTGTATTTGGATTTAATAAAGTTTTGACATGACTGCCAAATTTTTTTTTAAAAAAAAAAAAACCAATAAAAACTATTGTTTTTCATTAGTTCTATCAAAATTATCAGTTAGAATTTTTATGGTTTAAAGTTATAGGTATTTAAAGCTACTACGTTTTTAAAATTTTGGCATTTAATATAAAAAATTTAAAAAATTTTTTTAAAATTTTTTATATCCAATCAGCATTAGTATATAATGAATTCTGATTAGCTAAAAATACCCCAAATTTGGTGCATTTGATGTAAAGTGACTTGGAGCACCATATATAGTTATAAATTAGAGTTCTGCAAACCCGGCACTTGCCTTATACCTGATAAAAATTTTATGCTGCCAGACACAAGACAAAAATAGCACACTGTGCCAGTCTAAAATATACCAAGCACTTTTTTAGGCACTCAGCATCAGTATTATACCTGGCACATGCCAGAATTTAGCAATATTTGCCTAGCATATACTGGTAGTTGCCTGGCAGATGCTGGAAGGTGAAATCTGTGAATAATTATTTGAGCATCGATCGAAATTTCAAGCATTAAAATAAACTTTATTCATTGTTTTAATTCAGTTAATTAAAATTTAGCTATTTTAATCATGTTAAGTTTTTTTCATTTATTGTTTTAATAGGTGATTCACTAGTCATCTGGACAAAAAATTTTTTTTTATATATAAATTTTACTATGAGTGCAAATTCAAAGAGCTTGAAATATATAGTTTATAAAAAACTTATAGATGTTTAGTAGGGTCCGAAATCAGGTGAGTCGAGCCAGGCTTTCATAAGCCCAGTAAAAATATTTTATAGCTATTATTATAATTCCTGAGACACCTGTGAAAATTTGCCCAAATGATTTTTCTGCCGATCTAGTTAAGCTATAGATTTCAGGAATAATAATAATAATAATAATAATAATAAGATTTAATAACAAATATATTAGATATATAGTCAGATGACTAATAAAACTTATATTTCAATAAGACTAAATATCGATGTGCATACTTGCTGCACTTAAATTTCAATTCTTATTATTTGGCAAGATCCATTTAGCTCAAATGAAGCCTTTATTTTTTTCCAACAAAAATTCAGATTTAAAAAATTGTATAAATTTCTAATTCTATTTTTTGGCAAGATTTATTTCGTTCAAATAAAGGCATTTATTCATTTCTAATTATTTTTTGTTTTTTGTTGAAAACAAAAAATTCAGATTTAAAAAATTAAATTAAATTTCGATTCCTATTCTTTTGACAAGATCCATTTTCATTCAAATGAAATGATTTGTTTATTTTTAATTATTTTTTGTTACTTGTTGAAGACAAAAAATTTGGGCTTAAAAATTGAATTAAATTTCGATTCCTATTCTTTGACAAGATCCATTTTCCTTCAAACAAAGGTATTTATTTATTTTTAATTATTTTTTGAAGAGAAAAAACTCAGTTTTAAAAAATTGAATTAAATTTCGATCCCTATTTTTTGGCAAAATCTATTTTCCTTCAAACGAAGACATTTATTTATTTCTAATTATTTTTCATTTTTTGTCGAAGATGAAAATTTTGGTTTTAAAAAAACTAAATTTCGATTCCTATTTTTTGGTAAGTTAAATTTTTTATGGAGACCCTATATATAGCAGCCAATCATATTTTAGAATTAATACAATTTTTTTTATATTTTTTTTATTTTTTATTATAAAATTTTTAAAATTTTTAACTAAATTTGATTGGCCAATAGTAAGCAACTTATTATATATCCACATGCTCAATTTTGATTGGCTATTCATATAGAGTCACCATGGCGACCCATCGCTATAAACTAACGCTCTTTTGGCAAAATACATTTTATTTCTAATTATTTTTGTTTGTTGTCAAAGACGAAAAATATATAAACAAATCAGATTATTTTAGCTAAGTATTTATTTTTTATTTGTTTAATTTCTTTATATCTTGATTAATTTTTTTATTTATATTATTATTTGCTTTGTAAATATATTATTTGATAATTATTGATTAAAAGTATTTAAGTTCACTTCTCATATTTCTTATTTAACTTTCTTTTACTTTTTATAATATAGCCTCTTAATATATGTTATAGTTATTGTATGGATATCTGGGTATAACTAATTTCACACAAGTTTATATCCAAACCACGTAGTCTTCGGCCACGTAGTTTAAATATAAACCCATGTATAATTAGTTACACCCAGATATCTATACAATAACTATAACATATTAAATCCAGGAACTATAAAAGGGTTTAAGAATTAGTGAAATAAGATAGATTTTATGCATTTTTATACATAGCATTTTATATTTAATATATAAATTTTGTATTAGACAACATACATAAAAACTAGGACATACTATTAAAACATAGAACCCATGACTGTATCTGTTACTATGCTTTAATAAGTCATTTTTAAGAAATTGGCACTGGTACTATCAATTGCATTAGTGTCTGGCATGGTGCAATTGTGTCTGACATGAGCACTTTTGTAGGCACAGTACAAAGATGCCGGCCTAAAAGTACCTGGTACTTTTTGCTTATAGGCACTGGCATGACACAAGGTACTGGTGCCTAGCATAGTGCTCCATATGCTGGCATGGGTATTTGCAGAACTCTAGAAGATATGCAAAGAGTTAAAGAATACTATAATATGCTTTAAAAAATTTTTATTATATAAAACTACAAGTCACCAATTGATGATGTAGTAAGAGTTACTTTAAAAATTTTATTTATATTGTGTAACTTTTATAGGTTAAACTAAGACAAATCAAGTTCAAATTGGCATCATAAAATCCTGATATGAACTCGATATGAAACAGATATTTGGTGCAAATAGGGTACCTATAAGATACAATTTGGATTGATGTCAGTATACAAGACATATCAGCAAAATAAGTAAATCGATAGAGCTTAACTTATAGCTTTATTAATTTACCTATTGAGCTATTATTTTGCTAATATGTTTTGTATACTAATATCAATCCAAATTGTATTCTATAGGTGCCCTATTTGTACCAAATATCTGGTTTATATTGGGTTCATATCGAGATTTTATAATACTAATTTGAACCCAATTTGCCTTATTTTAACCTGTGCTTTTGATATTTAAACAATTAAATCAAATATTCACCATGCTTATTATATTTACATCATCAGTAAAAATAAATAGGCATAAATCTCCACAAGTTTTTATGCGAGTATAAGCTTATGAAAATTTATGATGAGTTTAGAGAATTACGTAAATATAATAATTACAAAAGTTTATGCTATAGTAACTTTGGAATATTATGTAAATGTAATTGTCCGAAGCGAAGCATAGGACTCATACTTCTACGTTAAGTGATAACCAAAATTACCTTTTTGATATATTTATAGTAAAAATATCAAAAGCGCAATTGTGGCATTTTCCGTCTGTGACGCTAAAGTTAACCTTATTTTGACTTCTAATAAAAGTTGTAGAGGCGTGTCTTGCGATCAAAATGGCGGTTAAAACGTTAAAATCTGCCCAGTAGATCGCGAGATATAAGTATTTTTGTCTTCGCGATTATATGTTTTCTTCTTTATAAATAAAGAAGAAAGCATATAGAAGTAAAGACGAAAATACT